TCTTGTAATAGCACTAGAAAAGGACTTCTACTTTTTTTTTATTAAAATACGTGTTATAATGAAAACCTAATTCTACAATTGATGATTATCAAAATTCACATCATTACAAATTGGGACATTTTGAAAACAAGTGATTAATTTAATCCGACCTTGATCACTAAATCTAGCTTACATTAGCTCTGATTCTTGTTTATTTGATTTACTTGAATAAAATTTGACTCTCTTGATCTAAATTCTGGCCACTTAAACTTGATTTGGTATGTATTTGTACCATATAACTACAACAAAAGATCTACATATATATTTGTTAGATTTTATTTAAGTGAATGTTTCATTATTGATTTGCATGAACAATTTCCATTACACGACGAGTACTAGTGAAAAATCTAGTTGTATAAAATTAAAAGAAGAAATATCTGGCCAATCTCAGCATTTAGGTGCATTTCTAATTATAAAGAATTATAGAATTCGAAATTGCCCTTGAGTATTACGAATGGTTAGATCATTTCTGAAGATTAATACTAATTTTTTAGAGAAGATATCTCAAGAAAGATCTTTTTGTAATATTTAAAGACAGTTTCAAATTTATAGATTTCTAGAATTTAAAATGTACTTGAATTATGAGTTTGCCCGGATTGTAGATGTCTGAAAAAATTTAGGTGATTATTAGACTTTGAGTTCGTGCAGATTGTTTTATAATAATCTGGCTTGTCATAACACTTAGTTGGTTACTTTTAAATACCAGTTCCTGAAATATAGATCAGAAATATTTTATTTAATGTGTACTGACCATGATTAGTCAATAACTAGAGAACAAAAGCTCAATTTTTTGTCTTCAATATAGAAATAATTTTTTATTAATAATTTATAATTATTTAAATATATATTGTTAGAACATTGTTAAAATAACAAATTTAAAATATTTTTATATTTATTAATTAATAAAGTTTAATACAAAAAATTTACAACAGAAAATTAAAAAAGTATATGTCAATAGAAAAAGTATAGTAAAATGCCAACCCTGGTTATAATCTACTGCATCACTTAGTAACCACGATCAAGATGCTAATGATAATTACCGACTAACAATGTTAGCAATGATTAATCTCAGGTGTAAGATAATTAAATTTATATAGTATTTATTATAAATTTATAAAATTAAATATACTAAACTCCACATTACAACCCATAAGCTTAAAACTACACTAACTAAACCATCATTATTCCGATTAAACAAACCATAATGACCTAATTTTCTTGCTTTACTCTCTTCAAACGCAAAATCAGCGGGTGCAACTGAAGTAACGGTTTCCAAGATAATCTTGGTACTTGGTGGATAGTAAGTTTCATAGGATATTGGTTCACCATTCTTGTAATCAGTAATAGTAGATGTATAACCTGGAACATATACAGTAACGGTTACCGTGACTACTCTAGTTACGAATGCAGTTATTGTACTACTATCGTAACCGGGCGGTATGATTGTCGTGATATGATAGCCCTTATCTTCTATAGTTTCGGTTTTACCGCTATCTTGTTTGTTAGTACTTAAACAAAAATGCAAATTAGTTTTTGTAATATTTTTTTAAATTTGATCTTAGTTGTCATATAATGAAGAGTCGAATTTAAAACGTACTCGGTTTTACAGTGTGGATTATCTGAACAAACATCAGCAGTAGATGTATAATGTTTGGTAATAGGAATTTTCTTTTGGGAATTTGCAGGTTTGGGAGGAATCGAAGTTTCACGAGGAAGAGGGACATAATTAGATGTAGGTTTCACATCACCCGAATTTGGATTTGGCGACGGTTGAGAATGATTTTGATTTGAATTTGACTGGGACGGTTGAGGTTGATTTGAATTTTGCTGGGACGGTTGAGATTGAATTGAATTTACCTGGGACTGTTTAGCTTGAGGTTGAATTGAATTTGCCTGGGACGATTGAGGTTGATCTGAATTTGTCTGAGGTGACTGAGGTTGCGCAGTTGATTGTTGTTGGGTTTGTTGTTCGGTTTGTTGAGCTGATTGTTGGGCTGATGGTTGGGCTGATTGTTGAGCCGGTTGTTGGGCTGATTGTTGTGCTGATTGTTGAGCCGGTTGTTGAGTTGGTTCTGGTGGTTGTTTCGGTTGCGTTGGTTGAGCTGGTTGAGCTGGTTGAGGTTGAGCTGCAGGTGGTTGCGTTTGTTGAGCTGGTTGTGGTGCAGGTTGTGCAGGTTGATTTGGTGAAGGTTGTGGTGCAGGTTGTGGTTGTGCAGGTTGTGGTGCAGGTTGTGCGGGTTGTTTTGGTGCAGGTTGAGCTGGTTGCTTCGGTTGTCCTGACTGTGTAACTGGATTTAAACGTTAAAAGTTAATACGCACGTAGTTATCGTTATAGCTAATATTGTAGTTATTTAAAAGGTGATGCTGCTTAATAGATACGTTTATATTAAGCTATACCTGTAAATCTTATGAAAATTGCCGTAATGAGTAATAGTATTATAAAATGAGTCCGGCTACAAAATAATTTGGGTTCCATTTTTATTTGATTTATTTTATATACATATAAGTCGGTTTATTGACGTTTTAAGAAACAAAAAATACGTAAATTAAGCAATAAATCTAATCTAATGCAAATAGTTGACTTTTTTTGTGTGAATAATAACTATTTCATGAGAAAGAGTTCTTTTTGCATTCGTTAAATAATTTCGAATATAAATGACCGTCCTATTTAAGAATTTCTTTAGCCATCACGGTGAAAATTTCCGCAGTTG